CGGTGACGGCATTAACAGTTGTCGCTTATGACTCACGAGATAGTACTGTACAGCTATTGGTTAACGAGCAGGGCGAAGGCGTGGTCTACGCACACGGAGCGTCGGCGAATTTTATCTCAAAGGGGCGACAATCTGTGCGCGCTGTCCCGCTTTGAAGCGCTCTTAAACTTGTGGTACCACAGCAAAGGAGGTCCATTATTCTGTTAAATACATTTTTTAATAAAATTTTATTACAATTTAATGGATTTAGAACAAACTTTACTAGTGACATAATGTTCGCCAGCCTTTCAGTTATCCAACAAGACGTGAATACGTATTCAGAGGGCCGTAGGGAGGATACAGGCGCACGGCCATCCCCTCGGCCAACGTTTGTGTTAAATTTGAACACGAAACTGGCGTACATGCGCACGAGCGCATGTACTCCAAATCTTTTGCGTTTTTTAAAGTGTGCAGCGGGCGCAACTGACCTTGCGCCCGTGGCGCAGACTGGACTTGGGCCTCATGTTCTTTTGGCCTGCTGTTACCTGGGGGGTAATAATTACGACAGTTAAATTATTTATAATAAATAAACTATTAAAGCGTGAACTGTGAAGTAAAGCCAAGCCTGTTTTTACGGGCGCAGCGAACGGGTGCAGGCTGTGAAATTTTTCGGCGCAAATCAAACTTCGAAGCGGGCGCAACTAGCGCAGCCAACTAGCGCAGCACTTACGGTCTTACACCAATAACACCATCCCGAGGACCTCGCTAATGTGTAATTACGTGTACGGTATACCGTATACATAATTATACAGTATCGCCACTTCGATCTTTCTCGTTAAAGTAAAATTGAATTTACGATACATCTTTAAACCTTATGATGACAATGATCCAAAAACGAAATTTTGGCGAAAATTGAAATTTTTGATAGAATTCCAGGCTTAATTTAATTGTATTTGCTTTTTTTGCTTACTTACTCAGCAGCAACTCATACGGGGCTTACTCGGCCCTTACTCCGCTCCCCCTGGGGGTACGGGGGGAGCGCGTATTAAGTATTAAATTCCTACTGTTGTAACTTGTCTTTATGCAGTAGTCAGAATAAACTGGTCGTAAATCAACACAGCTATCTGTACTGCACAGTATGTACCTGTTTACGGGGATGTCACCGAATCCGATAAAAAGGGGGCCGGTGCCGCAAAAATTCATAATATTATAATCCGCAATAATTGATAATAAACGTAATCGCATAACGCTAAACTAATCCGCAATGATCTCAGTTCGCGGCAGCCACCCCGCTGTGAAGAACCTGGGAACCCCGGGAAGAGGCACCACGAGAGAGTCGTTCCGCTGTGAACCCTGGAAACAGGCATCGCGACAGTAGCCAAGCAGGTGCCTGGTACCGTTGCGTTGCTTGGCTTCCTTTAAGGTTTCTTATCAAAGAAAATTATGGTAAGTAATACTACTTATTTAGGTACTGTGTGTTGAAGGCTTAACAACACGCAAATAACTGTATGAAATCGAAAATGCCGAGCACGCTGCCAAAACCCATATGGACAACTGTGCTTGAACGTTAAAATCGCTGAGCGGTTATGAATCCCACAATTCGCACTTACGGTTTCAAGAAATTCACAATAAACATTAGCAATCATCATTCGTATTTATATTTCCTGTACGGAGTTTGTACGCGAAACATCTGCAGGGAATAGACAAGTGGCTTAGCGACCAAAGATACGTATAAAAAAATCACTGGAAAATCACATCACCTTCGCGCAAATAATGCAGCCAGCTACTACTTACTCCACTGTACCTGATTGCAGACCTGGCCTCCGTGCGGTATAGAGAGGTGCGTGTATAGAGAGATGAAAGAGACAACCTTGACACATGGGCAACCCGGACACTGAAATCTACCGCTATCTTTTATGAGACGGAGATGAGATTTGTCTGCTCAGAAAGGTTCCAAGAGCAGGTATATCTACCTAGAAGCAAATCGAAATTCTCTTCTATCAAATCGAACAGGAAACAAACAAGCTAACGACAACTCGTCAACCACGAAGTGGAACGCAGCTCTTAGTAAAAATACTGTGAAAACAGCAGACTTTCACAAATCTGCCAAAATAAAAAGCCGACAGCCATACGGCTCGGGGAAAAAATGAGCGACGGGGGCCCGCTTAGGTGTATGTACGGGTAATTTACTGTGGGCTTACCAGTGGGGTGCTGCTTGTTGCGGAAAATCCGATTGCACGCAGGCCAGGTCTGCCACGCGGGAACCGGAAGACGTCGATCTGGTCGGCAGCGTCTGCAACTTGCAGCCTGATGTGGACGCGCCACCAGCTGTGGCAGGTACGTCGCTATAGCGGTGCCGCTTGCATTAACGCCGAACGACCACGCAGGCGGGCCCGCTGTCGGACAACCTACAGTTAAATTCCACCGTCTGATAATAGGACGGGTCTGCTGACTTGGTCGGCAAAGCGGGGAACCTCTATGTTCATAGAAACAGGCGAATGTTTGTCCGTCTGTCACGCACTGCCTGGTCTTAAAGCAAAGCGCTAAAGTTGGCGCTTAGCAAGAATTAAAGATTATTTTAGCGGCGCGAAATAATTAGGGGACGGAGAAATCCCAGGACCGGCGGCATTAGCTGTCGGCTTCTTTGAAATTAAAGGAGCCGACGCCTCGTGCGCGCTGTCCTACTGTAGGACTTCTTTGTCCCTTAATTGCTCCGCTGTACTACTGAAAAATCGACAAGTCACCAAGTCCTGCTAAGCCAAGTCACCATAACTCGTTATATATGGACAAACACCAGTAACACGCATATAATACGGATGCGTATTACGTCTGTACGTAATACGCGTTTGCACGTCAATTATGTCTCAGGGTCACGTACATACGTACAGGATTTAAGTGACTCTGTAAGGAACCATCCATAAATTACGTAACGCAAGCAGGAGTGGGGGGAGTCCTTGAAACGTTACGATATACGACAAAGGGGAGGGGGGCTTTAAGAAATTTGTTACGTTTTGTTGCATTTATGACGTCACAATGGTATAGCTTATGGACGGGTTTTGATTTTATTACATACGCTAGGGGAGAGGATCTCGGTTTTGTTAGCATTGGTGACACAGGGGAGGGGAGTATTCAAAACCTTAAATTTTGGCGTTACGTAATTTATGGATGGCCCCTAAGTCTCAGAGCACGCTCCACGCACGAACAGAGTACGTAGCGTCTGTACAGAGTCTTAGATGATAATAATTATAATGATTTACAGAGTCTCTCCAAGCTTCGTAGCAGGAGTCTCTAACTCTGTACATATGTAATTATCAGTTTCCTGGCAAGCCGGTTGAGGGCACTGCAGATTGCAGAATCAACCGATGCCATCGGTTGATAGTGCAATCTTGCTGTCAGTGCGTCGTGTCGTGTCAAGGTGATCTATTACTGTCAGCCGTTTACTCCCAGCAGTATGTAAAGACATGTGAATTTTAATTCCAATGTTGCAAATATCGGAAATCAGTCACGGGATGCATGAAAAGAGGACAAAAATGTACGGGTGAAGAATCAAAGCGGATCGGGTTTTCGAGACTGAAGCAAAAGAGCGCTTCAATAACCACCGAAAAGACTCAACAAACAAAAGCCCCGCATACCGGTGTCCTTAAATAATTGGCTGCGGGCACACATACTGTAAATCAGGAAATGTCAAAAATAGCATTTTGATAGGTTTCCCAACATTTCCAAACACGTATAATGTTATCTGCTGAATTTCAGCTTTGGTTTTTTTTCACGTAATTAGCCAGTAAAAATTTTCCCGCAAGAAAAGATAGCAGCTTAGTTAAAAACAGATATATTTAACCCGTTAAAAATTTGTCGGCAAATTCAATATCACAGAAAGTGAGACGACGCTACTGCAGATCGAGAGAGCAAATAAACCTCTTTTGACTCTGCATTAACCGCAGCAGAATTAATTCAAATTTTTAAACATGGATTATCCGTAGGTCCGATAGCGGTCCATTCCCGGCCGGTATTCCGGTGATGCTTGTGGTAAGTACAACTGGTTTTGCGCCGTCGGTACAGTAACGACCGGACAGCACTACAACAAAATACAACAAATTCGTCAAAAAAGTGCCTTAATCTTTTCAAACTAATATTTTCTGCAAAGTGACTTTTACAGTTAACCTGCAGTGCTTTATTTTGTTTCTCTTCGCAGTTAATTAACTGCAGTGGAGCAAACACTGCCCAATAAAATTTTTTTATGTATTAAATACATGATTATTTCTTTTTATGAAGTTACAAATACAAATTTTTGAATCAAAATTACACCTAGTTGCGGTTCAATAATTTCTGAAAATAATAGTAAGGGCACAATTGTTTCCCCAAATACCGGAGCGTTAGCGAATAAAGGGCGCAGCTACGTACTTGTATCCAAACTATATGTAATTGGCTATCCCAGGGATTTGTTGCTTGGCCCGTTCCTATACAGAAAAATTATAATTGCTTTACTTATACGTAGTAATTAAGTTTCGTTTTCCGCTGTGTACTCGTAGAATCTGTGAATTATCTTCATCGTTTGTACTTGCATACAATATATCTACAGGGTATACCGGTACTTATCTGAATCAGATAAGTACTGGTATACCCAATATTATGACAATATTAATGTCGATAAGCGAGCAAAGTACAAACAACTGCTATTTAATGTAAAACTTACATAATATTTATGATTGTGATCATTTTTGCGTGGGCGCTTAATGCGCTGTTAAAACTTTACGACGTGCTGTAAGTACTCGTACGTACTGCGTACCTGTCATAACGTAGTGCGTGTCACATTTGACAACCCAGTAGCCGTCATAATGCTCGCCCGCCCTTTAATCAACAGCCACGTTAAAATTATTTTACATGTATAATATAATACAGTTTTACATCAAATTGGTAATTCGCTGCCAATTAACAGGCATACTTATCGTGCGTGTACTTCCACTGGCAGCGCGTATAGTCAATCTTGTAACCAGGCGGTGTTTTACAACATTTCTGCAGGGTCACCTGCATGGGATCCGCTGATGACGCTCCGTAGTAGCCTAATAATAATTTGGATTCGGCAATAAAGCATGGTACACTGTATATAGGGTAGGCAAGAAAAATACGAAAAGAAACAAAATACGTACTGCAAATTAAACAGCTGCGCTACAAGACGATCTAACATACAACTTACTGAAATGTACATTGACCTACGTATAACATACGAAAACGGAACAGTGAATAATTTTTAAATCAAATTTAAAACTGCAAAATTTTAAAGAAATGCTGATGTTACCAATAGGTAACCTGCAGGCATTGGCGTACCAGTAACAAAAGTGTCAACGGTGTCCATGGGAAAGAACTTGTCGTAGCAGTAGTATTCTCTTAATGTTAAATTTCTGGAGAACAAAAAACGTGCACGCTAGCGCAGGAAGACGTATTTATCACATGGCTTTGTGGTACCTGACGTTGCACGAAGGATAATAGGGATACAGGCCGTTGCTTGGTGGTTTCATCGGAAACATGAAGAAGCACCACACCTCTGCACAGGACAAACCGTTACAACTTCAGTTCAGGTAACGGCGGATGCAGAAGGATTTCTTTTTTTGTACTGTCGTTCGACTTACGATTTATTCCCAGGAACTGTTTGTACAGATCAAAAATGCCTGCAAAAATGAAATGTCATCCCTGGCATTTATCATGGTATCTGTTTACCCAGTGGACAGCATACCGCCGTCGAATTTTGGAACGACGATATAATAATAATTATGAAAATACGTGTTTTAGATGATATTCTATCGACGTTTTCCGCATTCCGAGCATTTTCATACATAATATAAATTTCCGTACCGGAGAACAGTAATGTTCGATTACGTAAATAATATTACGTTTATCTGTACATGTTGTTGTTTACCTGTACATGTTGTTACATTTTTAAATTATCGTGAAATGGGTATCTGCAATAAAAAGGACGGGAGGGGGTATTTATAGCGGTTTTCTAAATTTATTCATGAATTTACTTAAAAAAGTAGACTTCTTTACTGTGTGCGCGGATGCTCATTAAAATCACTACGCGCCCGTACATTCCGCGCACACAGCCATCTCAGGAAAATTATCAAGTTTTCTAATCTGGATCAACCCAGATCTAGTTAATACCGTAACTCTGGTGTCCCGCGCGCACAGTCCGCATTGTGAAAATGTGCTGGAATGCGATAAACGTCAATGCAAGGAAATATCGTTCTTGAATCATTATCATCCTTCTAATATAACTGTTTATAAATGTTTCCCTGTATTACGGTATTTAAGACTTGCATTAAATACTGTTATATACGAGGGATAACGGTAGTGCATGCCAGCAATCCCCTGGATAGCCGCCTGGAGTGTGACGTTAAGGCAACACATATGGCTAAATCTGGCGCGGTACATAATCACCATGTTTAGCCACAACGTCGAACTCCAGCCGGCTGACGGCAGCAAGTACAGGAGTGCCGGCATACGCCCCTCGTATATATAAAAGTTTGTACATATACTGTAGTTTTTCATGCACAGCATTAATTATTTTTAAAACTGTTGTATTATTATTCTTGTAAATTAAGGCAACTAGTTCCTTGTGAAGTAAGGAAGTGGTGATCTAATTACACTTGACTTACCAATCATCGCCTCTCCATCAGCGCACTCGATGAGCCATTTTTGGTAATCATCCGCAAAACCGCCGCCCAGATAACCGGTAGTGATGATGCAGTCCCCGCTGCCTACATAATTAATTGCACACAATTAATCCCGTGGATGATAGATTTAAATCCAGAATATTCATAGCGAATAAATTCAGCAAATAATAACGGGAATTAACGATAGAATGAATCCTACCGAAACATCGATTATGGGCATAATACGTGTACACTTCCACAAAAACTCCTAACAAGAACAATGCCAAAAGACTACGATATCGCCTCATAATCGCGCTGTCTGCGAAACCGATACCATGTCATAATTAGCCGACGTTATTAACGAAAAATAAAAAAATGCATTATAGAAGAAAGTGTGCACTTCACTTTCGATATTGAAGAACTTTCGAAAAATTTAATGAGGAATGAGTGGTCAGTTTTTTTGACGCATCGAAAGCGGAAATCATTTCTCTTTTGAAAATGGCTCATTGAGTGGCAAAAGCGGACAAGAGAACGGCTTTGTCTTCCGTTTGTTTAGAATTTAAAGGTAATTACAAGCGAAACAAACTTTTGGTTCTCAAGGATTTGATTCATGTGAAAGGAAGGAGAAGAATTGTTGTCTTCAGCGTCGCAATTATCTCCGATGATGGACCGGTATGGGTTTAATGATGCTGCGGTCGTGAACTTGCACAAAATGCATGTGCTGTATACACATGTACTGTTAGAGTAATTCCGACCCGGCAACAAGTTATCCGAGGAAATTAGCGTCAACTATCGCACCGGCGCTGATCAATCACCATCAACACTGCTTGTTGAAAACAATCTAAAGATCGACGCATCTTTGACATTATGCATCGATTTAATGGGAAATTTTTCGCAGAGGATTACCGGGTTATGTAACAGTGCACTGTCATCGATGATTCGATATTATGATCCATATTTTGGAGCCCAACGTGTGCTGTATAATCAGTACCCATAATAGGTAAAAATAATGATTAATTTACGACACACATTTGTGTGATGTCTCACATACATTCTCTAATCTAATGGAATTTTTTAACGCCGGACCTCTTATTTGGTCCCATTACAGCATGGATAATTAATTTGGTATCCGCGGTACGTAATCACGGGTATATGTGTATATTTTTGATCCATATTCACGTGTGTATAGTCAGTGTAAAGTCCACGGCAAATACACCGGTACATGGTGATACATGTACAAGTACATATCTATACCTGTATATTAACTAAATGGGAAGCGTGAGAAGCGTCATCAAAAATTATGAAAGCGATTCTAAGGATCGAACTAAAACCCAAAATTCAAAAAACTTTTCCAAACTCTCGAAATATCGATTTTAAGGGAAATCTTAACATTAAAATAAAAAAGCTTACAAAAGTTTTTAAAAAAGCTTTAGATAAAAACTAAACCAAATTAGATATACAACTACGGAAAAATGTTTCGCATCTGGTTTATGGTTATGTTTCGGTTTAATAGGTGCCTTTAACAACCAAATGCACCTAGTTTCAAGAAACGCGGAAAAAAGCTTAAAATTTTGGTGCATGGAAGTAATTTTAAACTTCTCTTTGTCCAGTTCAGTTTGCTCACTTCTCGGCAGTCAGATTTTGCGGGCACAGGTGTATGCAGATCATTTTGTTAATGACAAATCACTGTAAAATGGTTATTGGGAGCAATCGAAAGGGAAAGTTTGTTGAATTTTTTCGATGGTCTTTAGTTTATCATGGATGGCAGCCAATTCTGTTAACACTGCGTGACCTCTTTTTGTGGATCGAAATTTTAACTGTGTTCTCATTCCTTCGATAAATTAACTTTTTTTTTTACTAGCATTTGTTCCGCTTCAAGCTTCGATTCGGACAGTAAATTCGTTTCACTTTATTGGCTTATTGCGCGCCTTTCTCTTGGAAACTGTGAATTTAACCCGGCACGGTTAAATTGACCCGGCACGATCGAAACTTAATCAAGACATTCTCCAGTTGAAAAACAAGGGAAAACACCGATCGATACCCAATTCATCCAAGCCCCGATAAACCGTAAGCGTGTTTACGTGCGCGCTCGCAGCACACCTGGATCCTCACCGTGCCGGGCCGCGCACTGCAAAATTAACCATCTCATTTTCCCGCAGTCTTCCCCATTAACTCCATCCGGGCGTCCGATGTGTGATGACAGCAGCAGCAGCCGGCCGGATTCATTAATCGTGCATATAAGACTGCAAACCGGGATCGATAATCCACTTACCTATATAAAGGGTCGAGCTCGGTTCACCGGCACACGCTTCCGCTCCCACATACAGTGTATATACGCTGCATAAATGCTGCAGCAGGTGCCGACAGATGGTACATATTGGCCATTTTCATCAGGCGGATTACCGACGCGGCTCGGCTGCCTTGTTTTGCCGTCAAGCACAGCTTGACAGTGTACACACACCGTGGCAGATTAGTTTTGCATGTGTTTGCACGCGCTGCGATCCGGAGGGAATTTCTTAGGTTTCTCGGGTTTCTTACATTTCTTTAATTGCTCAAACGTGCCTGAAATTTCGATATCCCCAGTTCTTACCATTTTTGCGCATCGACTCTGATAATATTTTGTCGTACACTGGTTCCCACGGTGAATGTATTCTTGGGAAACCATTCATTTCAACCCTGAGATATAAATTCCTTTTAGTAAAATTGCTGGTTTATTCAATCGTCCCGGACACTGTAAGGATCGCCAGATTGAGAGCTTTTTCTTGATTCGTTGGATATTGGCTGCGGTTATCACTTGGCCACGTTTATTAAGTAGCGCACTTCTTAGAAAAATCATGGGCGCGGACAAAGGCCCCGACCCGCCCACGACCCTGATCGACCCCGCTCTCCTCAAGGAGCACATGGATGCCCGACGGGCCAACATGATCATCCTGGACTGCAGCTACGACCTGAACCGCAATGTGGAGAAGGACTACCTGACTGGGCATATTCCGGGCGCCCTATACTTCAGTATCAAGGAATGCCGCGACAAATCCTCACCGTATCCGCAGATGCTCCCACCGGCGCCCGTATTTGCTCAGTTTGTCGGCGCCCTGGGAATTGACAATAACACGGTAAACTGAATTATATTTTCGCTGAATTTTATGCATAGTAAATTTATGCTGCAGTTGTTTCGTATATAAATTCAGGTTGCATTCATAATTGTGTGCATGTTGCAGTACATTGTGGTGTATGATAATAATCCACGTGGACTCTTCGGTGCCGCCCGCGGTAGGTGCTGAATGGGTCTGTTTTTGCATGAAAAATAGGCTCAAAAATGATTGTTTTTTTCATTAGTGTACTGGATGTTTCGGGCGTTTGGGCATGATAAGATTTCCATCCTGAACGGTGGATACGTTGGATGGTAAGTTTACTGCAGCGATCAGTGGTCACCGATGTATATAATGTCAGCGTTATGCAACGATGGACCTTTATCAGTAATTTTTTTATAAATTTAGTTTTAATGGCCGGTAAAAAATAAAGCTGATATTTTGAACCATCGCGAAAAAAATGCGACATAAAGTATATTTTTAAATGCCGATCATTTATGTACGGCACATTGTACAATAATTTAAACTGAATGTTTACATTTTCCAGAAATTTCGTGCTTTAAAAGTTGCTCATTTCTTTTATTACACTCATTAGATTACACAACCGAGCGTAATTATGAATTTTAATAACGCGCAAGAATCCAATAAAACCGTCAGTCTTAACGCAAATACCGGCAGCGTACAAAAACATTGCATCCGAATACTGTTTTCTCTGTCAACGACACACACTTGACAGGTAATCGAAGGTCGATTATCCGGCCTGCAGCACATGTTCTACATTGATTGACGGTGCACAACAATACGCTATACATTAATCCGATACCGGCATTTTTTCTCCCCACCAATGCAGCACATTGTGCGTTGTGTTCTGCTCAACGGCATTCAATGGGATATCCAGGAATAACATAATGCAGCCAATATCTGTATATGTATTGTATTTGTGTTTATATACACCGGAAATAGTGGAGTGCCTTCCGGTGTACGCAGAGCGCGATAAATGATCTAATTTAGCTCGCTGTTTTTGTTGGGGATCTGCAATGGCAGGAAGGCCAAACACTACCCGACCACGATGCAGCGCGATTACCTCACACCGCGGGTGTTCCATGCGACGATGCGCGCCGGATACCTGACGACGTTCGAAGGTATGTCTATCCCGGTTGTCCTTACTGACGTTCTAAATTCGGCATGTGCTCTTTCAATGCTAATAACGATCTTTTTTCCACGTGGCATTTCCATCACCGATAATAAAATTTTTTTTTACTCACTGCTCAATTATTGAAAATTTAATTTCAAAAAAGATGTTCAGCAAACTTTTAATTTTTTATTCAAAGCTTAAAATATATACCTACCTCGTTTGTCTGCACAGCGCAAACCAAATTATTTTAGGTCGATAAAAATCATTTTTATTATTGGAACTTTTTTAGCTCGCTGCAAGGTTCACTCTTTATTTTTCTAGCTAATATGTAGTTCTTAAAAATGTACACTTCAACCACGAAGAAAATTAAGTAACAAACAAATTTGTAATATGAGAAATTAATGTACAGATACAGACTTTAACAAAATAATTACTTCTGTACTTTAACTCTTAATTAATATTTAGTTCTGCACTTTTACAAAATAATTAAATTAATAAAATGAAAGCGATTTGATAAGCTGTTAACTTCACACAAATTAACCTTAGATATCATTTTAAATACATATTTTGCAGATGTAGTGCAGACAATTAAAGGCGTAACATCGCTCCCCGCCCAGCTCGTGGATGTCCGTCCGCCCACACTGTACCAGTGCGGACACCTACCCAAGGTGTGTGCAAATTCGATCGTCTATAAATCATCTCACGTATCGGAAATTCGTGTACGTTACTTAAGCGGATCTGTTTTTTCTCTTGAACCATCAGTCGAAGAATATGCCATACTACAGTTTATTAAACGACCCATTACCGACGCTAAAAGACGAGGACGGCCTGCGGAAAGCCTTCGCTGCCGCCTCCATTGACTTGGACCAGCCCATCGTCAGCTACTGCAATTCCGGTAATAAATCAGCTTGCATCGATCTGTACATTGAAAATAGAATAATTATGACAGGATAATTCGCTGACAGTGTTCTGTATTTAATCTGACATCTTCGCCAGTTTACTATATTTATTTTAAACTTCTAAGACTTTTTATTTGATTTGTGTTTCTCGTTTGATGAATAATTTTTGATTTTTCGATGTTTTTTCATATACCGTAATTATCGAATTTGTGGCTCCCCCGCAATAAGAGCCCCCCCCCCCCTGTAATTAGCCCCCTTCCCCGACCCTGTTTGAAAAATAAGGCCATCCCCCGAAATTACGCCCCAGGGGGCCGTTATTAAATTTCAAGCGCTGCAAAATGATAGGTGTACCGCAGATGCTTTATAAAAGTTGTTGTAATTGTTAGCAAACTTTAAACGGACATCAACATAATACGGTATTCGTTGGCAAAAAAGGGTAGGGACCTAAGTTTATGCTCGAAAATGTTGCTGGAAAGGTTGCGCTGTTGCGTTTACCGGTAACTACTGCGGTCAGTTTTACTAAAACAGGATGCGCAGTAGTTTGAAATATAATGCCCCCTCCCAGAATATGCCGTTCGAAAAATAATGCCGCCCCCCGAAATTGCGCCCCCTCCCCGAAATAAGCCCCCCTCCGCAATAGCCTTCGAACTATTTGTACCACAGGGCCACAAATTCGATAATTACGGTATACAGTCTCTATTCTTTTATCTTTTTCTTACCTCGTTTTTTCAGACTTAAATATAACTTTCTGTTGATTCCAGAGAGAGCTGTTTAAACCCTAAATCTTTTAAAATTGAAATTTTCTAAGCAGATTACATTTTTGCGAAAATAAGTGCACTGTTTTTCGCAATTTTTATAGTTATTTGAAAATTAAATTAAGCGAACAAAACTAAAACTTTACATATTGATTAGGCGTAGCAGCAAGTATGCTCTTCCTGGCGGGTATCTTATTGGGCAAAACACCGGAAGAGATCACCGTGTACGATGGATCCTGGTGGGAATGGGATCGGCGGGCGAAAGGTCATCATGGATATATTGAATATTCCCTGTAAAAATGTTCAAACAGTTGCCAATCGCTGTCTTTTAATCTGTTTCTATGTTAAATAGCGAATCTATCTGCTTGTAAAAAATCCTTTCCTAATCAAATACGTACCAAATCAATGTACATTTCAGCATGCGCCATGACGGTGCAGTTTTCTGTGACGAACGATGATCTCTTGTCAGTCTTTTGAATATATTTGCTGATAGCCATTCGACGGTTGTCGAGTTCATTGATGAGAGCACAGTTGCAATAAATGAAGAGAGAAAAATCACCGGCTTATAAAAATCTTCAAGTGCCGGAATAATGAATTAATTACTTCCGCGTAAAAACGAACGAAGGCTGCCGGCGCGTCGGCTGTGCAGCAGCATTACTATTGGCCTTTATTGCTGCAGCGGGTAATTATGCGTGATTGGGGTTGTGTTGAATCGTCGGAGCGTGAAGCGCGCCATTGTTAGACACTGTGATTGTACTGGGTTGAATTACCGGATAACACCATGCGGGATGGGCGAACCCGATGGATACGCTGGATATCGGCCGCCGTGGTGATATTTCTACTGGGAATCAACGAATTATACGCTTACTATACCCGTACATTATGTTTCGGTAAGCTTGTCATATATTTAACACGTTCTCCTCAGTTTTTCCATTCAAAGAATCTTTTTTGGCAAAGAATGTCAGCCGTTAAATAATTATTTTTTGATGATTTCGTTATGAATGTTTTGTTACTACATTTTTTTAAGCCACAGTTTCTTGTAAACTGATTATCCAGTTTAAAGGCAAGAAACTAGAAATATAAACTTGTACTGTATATTGCGCACTACGATGTGCGGCTAAAAAATGTAAACTCGGCCATTCGGTCCGCAGTTCAGATTTACGAGTATTTAACAATAGTGTCACACAAACAGCCAACGCGCAGAAATTGCCAGCGCTATGCTATAAGTCTTAACAGCGATGTTCTTGATTGCGCCGTATACGCTAAGAATTTCGTGTAACGCTTTTTTTCAGCGCCACATAATACATTCTTCAAAAACTAACCAAAAACTTTCCAAAACCTGTTAATGTCTTACCAGGAACATTTTCCGCCTCCAAATTCAAAAAATTCTCATGTTCTGTAAAATGGTAGTGTATCTGTACTATTGTAGTATGCTTAAAAAAATAATTTTAGCTGCCATGGTCAAGGAGGCGTGGCCAGACAACAATTAAAAGTTTGCATGCTACCATATACTGCGTAATGCAGTGCAGTACAAGTTATGCGCAATCATTATGATTGTTAACTTTTTCCTGCAGCACCGTGGACTTTTGCAGCTGTCCGCTGTCGTGAAATGTTTTAAATGAAAGAGGCCCACGTGCGTCGGCTCGTGCCATTTGTGTGGACATTTCAAAAATTTGTAATGAAGTACAGCACAGATCAGTGTATTAGCAGAACAAAGTTTGCACAACTTATTGTTTACAACACAGATCGATGAACATTTCCAAAAATGTGTATTCAAGCAGCAATGGCCCGAGCCGACACACGTGGGCCTCTTTTACTTACATCATTTCACGACAGCGGGCAGCTGCAAAAGTCCACGGTGCTGTAGGAAAAATTTAACATAATGATTACGAATAACTTGTACTGCACTGCATTACACAGTATATGATAGTAAGCAAACTTTTAATTGTTGTCTGGCCACGCCCCCTTGACGATAGCAGCTAAAAATATTTTTTAAGCATACTACAATAGTACACCACCATTTTACAAAACATGAGAATTTTTTGAATTTGGAGGCGGAAAACGTTCCCTGGTTTAGAGTGGAGTTTGGCTACTATAGATGCAAAAATAACAAGCACGTGTTTAATGTGAATTACCCACGTCCATCTGGCTATAAGGTTGTATGTCCTGGTGTACGATTTCTATGTCAGATAACCACCTAAAATACCATTACCTGAAATAATCAAACAAAAAAACGTAAAATTTCCAAATTAATCAAAACACAATTTTTTTAATTAGTCTATTGCTGTCTCCGCTAAGTAACTGATGGTGTTTTGGCTACTTCTGTTGCACTAACATACATCTGCCCCGGTTGGAATTATAAAGAACCGCGTATAAAGCCGTTGCACTACGATTCCCGTTCATAGTGTCAGTAGACGCTGATCAGGCCGTATCGTTTCTTTAAATTAATTGCAGGCAGCGGCGATTGTATCATCACAGCGGGCTATCGGGGCGGCGGCTTCGATGACGAGTATCATCGCTGGCTGATCGAGTGCGACGATGGGGAAGCGGTTATCGGTACAGCACACATTAATCATGTTAACCTTGTCGCATCAGCGATTTCCTGCTGATTTCCTGCTCTATCTTCATCGCAACATAAACAAAATAATATTTGCCGTATTAATGTACATGAAAATCTGTTCGATAAACGACTCACAAAAAAGGTTCCTTCGAAACAATTTACGAAACATTTTATTATTATTGCAGGAATCTACGATACCTACATGCAGTTCATGGCCATGTCACGTAAGTGCAAACGTAGCAGAGATGCGCCGGTCGGCTATTCTAACGATAAATTACGTACTGTAATCAAAAGTAGTGTAAAGTAAATAATTGCAAGTATATAGATAGTAATAAGACAATTAATCTGCATTATAAGAACGAGGGTGTTTGCACGTGCGCAGAGGTCTGGTGTTTCTTCTCCTTTCCCTTGAAGCCACCGGGTAAAGGCATCTATCCCTATTATTCCACTTGCAACGTACGGTAAGAAGCCATCCACTCTGCTACTCGTAGATAGTTTTCCGTACGATATAACAGCAATGGGCATGTGCCAGTGTGTTGATTTCCGTTGTACAGGAATTTCACTCTGAACGAGTTCTACTGCTACGATAAAATGTTTCCCGAAGACACCGTGGATACTTTCGTTACCGGTAAGAGCTTGTTTTGCTGACGGAATGATGTGCAACCCGTGTGTGGGAGTCCACGAAAGCGGAAGTTGGGCACCGGGACTTTCCTCTCTAGGGTAGTGACCAGCTTTGGCACAGAACTCCAGTACATACGAGTATAAGTACGCTGTACGCTCCCATCCAGAATAGTTTACGGAGCGCCGTCAGCGGGGAATTCGTGTATGATGATCAACGTAACATGAGTTTGTAAATAAATGTGGACGGCCATAATAGGTATCGTACGAAATTATGCTGTGCATTTCTATGCAGGATACTGGGCCGCCACCAGCGCTGATCCTATACAGCCGACACTGCAGAAATGCTGTAAGCGTACACGTTACATAAAGGTTACAACCACAGCTTTAAAATCATCTGCATCGCCGGCAATAGTAATTAGATTAATGCAGGATTAATTATTTCTCATCATGACTGTGCAAACGTTTATGTTACGCTGCGCCAGGTAAAACTCCGAAAGGCTACCGTATCGACTATTCACGGTGTCAGTGGAAGTACACGCACGACAAGTACGTACATAACTAGAATTAATACGATAATAAAAATACTCATTGTCAGATTAGCGTTAAAATATCACTATCAAACCATTGTTATTATCAGTATAAAATATTGTTATTAACATTGTAGTTTCTGCATTTAAGCTAGCTAAGCGGGGCAAAGGGGGAGTTATGGTTCTGTGAGCAAAATTATTTTGTTCAATGAAATTATGCATTAGACTAGTGACCTTATCAAGTCAATGCTTTCTGCTGCAGAAATGGGGAACACTATGACGGCTACTGGGTGGTTAAGTGTGACACCAACTATGTTGTCACCGGTAAGAATTCTCCAGCCCGCTCGATGTCTCAGACTGTTGACTGAACAAGTTGTTATCGCACAGGAACCGGTCAGGCATTGAATCCCTGGGATAACGTCAAGCATTTCACATGGATTCAGGTACAGCTAATAAGACTGTCAGATTGTGTCCGTAAATTTTGTATAGTTTCGAAAATAAGCGGTTTCCGCCCTGATCTTGATTTTTTCCGCGAGCCACCACAATTGCGAATTAATTGACTCTAGCGAATAATTTTGTTTTGTATTAAATAGTGTTGTCCTGTGATAACCACCGGTGCCGCTTTCGGTCTCCCCATCGGCAACCGCCCTCCATCTGGACATTATCTGGCTGGCGGATGATGAAGCGAAGCGCTCAGTTTTTTTTGTTACGTTTTGCGAACTGTTAATTAATTTTCTGGAGTTCAGACATGTTGCTCATATGTTTTGTTATACAACTGTCACATTTACAACGGTTATAAAATTGTACATAATTTTTTCAACGCTCACACTCTGCACAGCTGCACTGCTGAGCAAAGTGGCAGTAAAGTAATAAAGCAGCGTGTAAAAAGAATGAACCGGCGTTTAAGAAACACCTTCTATTCACCAAATCCTAATAATTCTGCTACGTTAACAATAAGAATTGGTACAATAAAGTAATTTGACCTTATCACTCGCCATAAGGCTTCATCGGCGCGCACTACTGTCCATTCTACCATCGCTGTGTTTTTTATTCGCTGCCAGAATTGTCTGTCTACTGGAATCGATTTTATTTGGACGTGCCAGGATGCGGGAGCCCTTCGTTAAGCTATTCCCCGTGTGTGCCGCGGTATTCTTATTCAAAATCGTGTCGACATATTATCAGAACTATCGGTGCTTTGGTATGTAGTATAATAATAATTGCGCGGCTTTCTCCGTATATTAAAGCGCGAAAAACGGTGCAGTGGATTTACTGTACTGTATGCTGCAAGGTGTGTTGTGTGCAGGCACCGGCGACTGTATCATCTCGGCGGGATACATGGGCGGTGGCTTCACGGATGCCTATGACCGTTGGTTGATTGAATGCGCCGATGGGGAAGCGGCCATTGGTAAGTCGTTTATTGGGTAATTAGCCCTTTCGCCGGGGCCCGGTACCCAACAGGTTCACATGGTGCTTAGTAATGTAAAATATTGATCGCATCACTGTACTGCGGCTTGGACTTTAGAAATTCACAGATGGCCGAGTTTTCCGTTAAATAATATCGTTGTTCCAATGAAATTATGCGATAGATTTAAAGGTTTATTTTCCATTATACGCAGCCCATTAATTGCGATTCAGCACATAGTTGGAACAAAACTTTTTCTAGTGTGCCATAACACATAACAATATTATTCAACTCTCATTTAACAATATCAATAGCTCGCATAGCATATTATTTTTATTTAAGCTGGAAGTCTGATTTTAAAGCTACCAACGAACAGATCTGATGTTCTGTAAATTAGTGGGGCCTATGAGTTTTTTCAGCTAAAGGGCGTCCGTAAAGGTGCTCGCAGTCGCCTCTACGAGCCGAAACAAAACGCATATTAGTCTATTACATCAAGATTCCTTCCCGACTGTTGACGGTTTGACTGTTGGGATCAGAGTCCATTGAGATAAGCGCAACAACTGTGATTTGCCGTATTAAATAGGCCACACACACAACTTTGAAAACGTTATCCGAAATGAAAAGCAAGTCCCGGCTTGCTTTTCATTTCGGCACAGCACTCTGACATAGATGCCAGCTCGGTCCACATAGATAACTTCACGTCGCGTTCATAGTTATCGTCATGACAGTTCATCTGCTACCACGGTAATGGTTGTTTTGCGTTATCTCAGTGGACTTTGATCCCAACAGTTTACCCGGCAACAGTCGGGAAGGCATCGTCATGTAATGGACTATTAACTTTCACTTTCAAAGCGCTTTAAATGTGCGCGGGAAGACAGCCTATAATCATTCCAGCAATCCCAAGTTAATACGAAATATCTTTTAGCGGTGTCCTTTCGTTTTTGTATTTGCAATTTACTCCAGGAAAGAAAAACGCGAATCGTCCTTATGTCTCATGCCGCTAAATTCGCAATTTGTATTCGATGGTTTTCATTTTTAGTTTACTAGTAGATTGCATCAGAGTAAACACTGAAATTCTGAAAGTTATTAAATCCGATAATACTCCATGTGTATCTAGAAAATGGTATTGAAGTGCAAGCACCTTTTTAACCTTAACATCCTGTACTTACGGGAAGTGGTCTGGTTCATAGTATCAGATTGTGCACAGGCATGAAAACTTTCACTTTCGCGCATGTCCAAACACTTTTTGTGTAGTTTTTTTCATTCGGTAGTCAAATGCTTTGTACACCGGTGCGAAAACGTTTATGCGCGCAACTTCCGGTTGAAGAGTTATGGGTGAAATCATAATTCCAACAATTTAAACGCCCGATGGTGTACCCAATTCTTCTTATAAACCAATCCTCTTCAAATTTTGCATGAAAATGCACGTTAGCGTGAAAAGCGGTTTTCGCCGAGCCAGGTTTCCAGCTATTTTTTTTAATTTTTTGGCTAATTTTGAAATTTTAGAAATTTATTTTATAATTTAAAAATTATAGTGGAAACCCGATTTGGTGTAAAAACAACCCCCGGAAAATGGCGTTTTCATGCAAAATTTGGAGAAGAGGTGCATAATGAGACTTCCGTGTGTTTAAAATACACTTTGTTTAAAATACATGTGTTTACACTTTCGTGTGCTTAAAATTTTGAAATGTTTTCACCCAGAACTCTTCAGCCGGATGTTGCGCACATAGACGACTTCACACCAGTGTTTACAAAGCATTTGACTATGGAATGAGAAAGAAACAATGCAAAAAGTGCAAGTGCTAGAACTTGTATTGGAATACCTATGCGCGAAAGTGAAAGGTTTCGTACATGAAAAAGGATTTGGCGCTATGTACCGTACACTTCTTTTAACTTCCCCACACTTCCCTTGACTTACATTACAGGCTTATGGTAAGTCAGGGTACACAACATTACGCAGAAACCGATTACCCGAACTCGAAGTATCATAGTACCGTATAGCTGTTACGAGAAGTGTTGTTATGGTGACTGCGTTATCGCGTGGAAACTGGAAATCTCCAAAACGCCGATAGGAACGATTTCTTACATCCACGAGTATGTCACCAGAAACTCAGCGAGACTAATTGCTTGCAAGCAGTGCAGTGATTTCCTCAAATATTTTTCCCCACTGCGAAGCAACTCATTGATCAACAAGGAAAAGATTCAGACATTTCTTAGCTGTGCTAGGCACAGCCTTTACCTTCTTCTCGTCGGTCCAAATTATGAGGCCGAACTTTCACACAATCACCCAAATTGGGCAGACCATAGTGGACGGTCAAGTAGGGTGAGTTGATGGCACTGTTTATGCCAGCCAGGACTCCGGTATATCATTTCTTCGTGTGCTAGGGTTAATCGGCGGTGTTCCGTGGTCCTCACCGCAAGTACTGAAGTCCAAATTCTCCAAAACAAACACAACGACATCGCGCACTATAAATACCACTGCCTGACAATCAGACCGAAAACGGGCATCCTGGGAAACAAGAACTCTGACGAACTTAAAGCGCCTGATTTATTCTTTCCCATAATGCTTGTTTTCATTATCTGTATGTCCTGTAAATAGTATTTTACAAGGTAGCGATTATTTTAAACATGGCAAACAAATCACGGGAGAAATGTTACTGCTAGAAAGCAACTCTGGCGCATCCAACGATTTCGTATAAAAAGCGATCATTACCATAAAGGAACTGTAAGAGCACTACGTAACGTAAGGCAACTCCAAAATCTGCAGTTGGTACCTGGGCAGCACAAGGGAATACGGGTAGTCCTTCGCTCATGCTGTATGCATCTTCCTGCGTTAGTACCGTTATCCGCAAGCGTAACAATCGATTGACGACTGCCGCGAGTGCGAGTATTGATTTTTCGACCGGTGTAACAGCGACTGCGGCGCATCCGAGATTTTGCGCCAGGCGATAGCCATGCGACAGCGGGTGCTTAGCACTCGAGGACGTATGGGCTCTGTTGTGTGTAGAATTTGTAAGGGTAGTAATTTTTGTAGAATCTGCAGTCTACCTATATGTCCTATGGAGAGGACGATTTTCGACATGGGTATTTCGGTATAAATGAGGCCGCTTTTGAAGTTCGCTGACGAAATGGTCTTTGATTGGGAGTTTGAGTAGGAAGTGGGTTGAGATTTCTTTTGTATTGGTTGTTTTGTAAAGTATAGTGTGGTTTTGGTATGTAAAGGGGTCTGAGTGATGTTGGAAATTAGTTGGTGAGTTGGTTATTTGGGAGTTTGTTGCTGAAAATCTTTGTGTTGTGCGCATTGATTCGAAGTTGGAGATTTGATGGTGTTTGAAGTTGGTAATTCAATTTGTTATTAGCAATTGAAAGTTTAATAGTAATTATAGTAGTATGATATTACTGGTCGGTGGGAGAACGGAAATTTGTTAAATTAATGACGGATAGTGGAAGTTTCAGTTTGGACGAATAGCAAAAGTGCATAGTGGTTTTGGAAAAAGTATTTTTGTTTTGATCTTGTTTTGTTATTTTTTTAGTATTTTGATGTGGTTATATTCTAAATAATAGAAATTTGTCGTTATTTTGAATTTAAGATTTTATGTATATACTTATTACTGGTATTTTTTATGTACGTGTTATCTGTCGTTAGTTTATGCTTGTTGTGGTTTCTCGTTTTATACAATTATTAAACTAAATATTAAAATTTTAATGGTTCAGGTAAATAGTACTTAAGAAGGGTACGAAACGCTAAAAGGTTATAATTAGCTCTAGCGTGTTTTGCTGGTCAGATAATGCTAAGCAACGTGGAAAAATTGTGAGATTGATAGCATATTAATCGATTAGATAATGACTTTTGGTTACATATTCTGAGCAATTGGATACTGAAAAAATTGTGACACATTTTGAACTTGTATATTGTGATAGTCCTTGTAAAAATGATATGTAGTAAATTTAAACTAACAATTTAAATTTAGATAGACTAAAAATAAAATAAATTTAATGAAAGTACAATTTTAAAACAATAATAAACGCACGTTTTTTTATGTATTGCATATTGCATTAAATATGATGGATTGCCATTACTTGCATTATTATTGTTTTTACTCTAAAATACTGAATCCACCTGTTTCTCATGTTAAATTTTCTCATGACAAAATTTTAATTAAGGGAAGAAGTTTGAGGGTTAATTTAGGGTTACTGCGCATAAATGATTTTCTCCAATAAATTTAATGGGATTTGCAATAAAATTTTGTCATGAGAAAATTTGACATGAGAAACAGGTGGATTCAGTCATGCGATACGGCTTCAGTTAGCGGTTTCAGTGAGTCATTGAACCGTCTCCGCGGCTGTAGAAATCTTAAGCATTAGTATGAAATGCTTTTTTCGAAATGTTTTCGTTAGAGTATTCTCGACAGAATTAATGAAGCTGACGTGAAAATATCCGTTAACCTAAAAGTTAACCGTTAACGGATTCTAGATAAACTGAATCATACAAGCAGGTGGCAAAAAAAGTACAAGCCATAAGTACACGTACACAAGAAAAAATTTCAAAAACCAATATGGACGAAATGTCCTGTTGCCGAAATGAGAGCTAGCCGGAGTAATTCAGTGCGGCGGAAATGTAACGCGGCCGAAGTGATCGGACGCGGTAGAACTCATCCTGCAAATAATTCCCGCCTGGCAATTAGAGTGCTCCTGGATCAGACTGCTCAGGAGCAACTCTTCCCGCTAGGTTTTGGTTATTGTACTGTTTGGCAATAACAGGTACGGTAGATGCCTTGTCTTATCGTATACCACTCTATTTAAACCGCGGCCAGTCGTTCAATTTCTACAACTGTTTTGGTCATTTATATTTTTAAAGCCTCTAATTATTTGTGAGAGGAATTTAGGTGAACATTCGTTTTCTTGTCTGCCCATACGAGGAGGTACTCGGCGGCGCTAGTCAGGAATTTGTACTGAATAAACTTTTACATCTAACAATATTAGTATTTAACACGCCTGCGTCCGAAAACGTTGACACTTGCGCTTATGTATAACTGATAACTGAATACTGTTTTTCAGGTATTTATGATGGCTACAAGAAATTCTCGGGAATCTCACGTAAGGCACTCAAATGCCACCGGCAGGTGGCGCTGAGCGTTCAGCTGAATGTCCTATCTCCTTACAGAAGTGTGGTGTTATTTTGCATTTCCTCTGAAACCGCCGGGTAAAGGCTTCTATCCGTATTATCCGCACTGCAACGTCAGGTGACAAAATTCCGTTCTACGTACAATGTTTTTGTAATACGGATTAACCTGACATACAGTGATCTGATACAATCTGCATTAACAGAAACATCACGATACATGAGTATTACTGCTATGATAAATACTACCCCGTGGACACCGTCGACACATTTGTTACCGGTACATTTATCCCAAGTGTTGTGTGCGTTGACGTTACCTTGGAGCACTTTACAGGATATTATTCGCCGACGAATTACGATCCCGCCGAGCCATCCCTACAAAAATGTTGTAAGTCTACTATGTATAACACACATTTCACTGGATAAGTGCTTTAACTTAACGTTGGGTTGGCTAGCTAGGCAGGACCCCGCCGGGATACCGTATCGATTACAATCGCTGCCAATGGAAGTACACGCATGACCGGTAAAAAATGATCCATCGCATTATCAGCTTTTGCTGGATTTTCCATATTCAGCTGCATCAGCAACCCATCCAGCAGTTAGTGTACTGAATGCAATGTACAGAGTTGTGTAAAAGTTCGTACTATGCATGCTCGATTCGTTGGTCAGCTGGATTTCGCTGTGCGCTAAAACTGTAGAGTATGATTTAGGGGCTTCTTTATTGTTCTCTCTTTGTACGTACTGAAGAATTTGTAAGTACTGTACCCTAATCCTGCACTTGCGGAAATTTGTTCAGTGCAGTCACACGCACTTTGTACGAGCGGATTCGCCATTCACGTACACGGCTTGCAGCTAGTGCATGTTAGAAAGTGAACTGGCTAAACGTTTATCCGGCTATACAGCACCGCGTCGCTCATAGCGTATAATTTCCGTCAAAGCGGCACCCATAAATTACGGCGCAAGCCGGGGGAGGGGGGAGGTCCTCCAAGTGTTTCTGTTTGTTACAAAGGGGAGGGGGGTTTTAAAAACTTGTGACGATTATGGCGTCACCATGCTATATCTATGGAGGGGTTCTAATTTTGTTACGTAACGCTCAGAGGAGGGGATCTCGGTTTTGTTAACACTGGTGACATAGAGGGGGGGGGGTATCCAAAACGCTCATTTTTTGCGTTACGTAATTTATGGACGCCGCCCAAGTGCAGGGTTAGAGTACAGTACTGCGTACGTACAATGGCTGATATTGAAAAGCTATGAGCAGTTTCGCAAGACAACTGGAATAGCGACAGTTGACGGAAGTCAGCCGATGCATTTCCAAAAACTTTACTTTTGCCACTGAACTATAATTTTGTCACATTTATAGATTGCTTTCATAAAGAAATTTTCTCAGTAATATTAATTTTACCAATTCGAGTGTAAAATTTTTCTCCTTGTATGCCGACGTGCGGTAATCTGTGTGCAGCAGGTGCATTTATGCAACGTTGTACATAAAGCTACATCTACAAGCCTACAACGTTTCTAAAGAAGCACTGAAGAAGCTAATAAACTGATTTTTTCTTATAAGTCTGCTATCTTAATTAGGATGGGCGAACATTATGATGGATATTGGCTGGTTAAATGCGATACAAATTTTATAATGACAGGTACGTACAAAGTTTCACACTGACGCGAATTGTTCGGGGATGCGACAATACTCCCGAACATAGTTTTCTAATGTCCTTATTTCGCTTGCAGGAACCGGTCAAGCGCGTAATCCCTATGATAACCAGACACACTGGGTGTGGATCCAGGTAAGTGGGCGATCCAGGTTTAACACGCACCAGAATTCTCATTGTCCTTCCTATCCGCATTAGTGCTGTCCGACCGTTTACCTCGGTTATCCTGGATATGCAGCACTAGCCAGGCCGAATCCTTACTCGTATGTGCCCAGCAGGAGAGCCTCACTTTCCTATGGATAATGTGGATACAGCACAAACTTAACCACTGATATATTTGCGGTTGATGTCTTGTTAACGTGTTTTAGCAGAAATAACATTTAACGGAATCCGTGCCGGCTGTGTTGCAGTTAAATTCATTTCTTGTGTAAAAAATGTCTTAATCTCTTAGCACGTTATCTGATGGTCCAAAAGTACGACCTATGTCTTTTGTAAAAGGTAACAATTCTGCCGCCGGCATCGAATCTCTTAACCGCAAATTATGCAACGATACAATTTTCTTTGCAACCGCTGTCCGCCGATAATGCTGACCCGCGATAATGGATAATCAGGCAACGGAAAGTAGTGCAACATTTCACACATACAGAAAGTGTTCTGCATGGCACAATCTGACATCCTGTTATGTTTCGAAGATAATCAGTGTAGCGAAGACGCTGATAGCGGTGCATTCACTCGATATGAGAGCAAATGTAGCAAAATGTACATGTCGATTATCCCAGCAGTCACCGCATTAAAAGTGGAAAATAGAAGTGGTTCGTGAAGATTGTAGAGAAATTCCTTGTTTTTTGGTGGGGCAATATTAGAGGTTACCTTTAAGGGATTACCATGTTGGTTCTTAAGGATGAGCAACTGAAGCAGTTGTTGCCGCTGCTGGAAGCGGATTTGCCGCGCTCGTTGCCGGTAATTTTCTCAACCATAATTTGTATATTACTATAAATGTTATTATAATGGCTTTATTTCGGTATAATATGAGTACTGCTAGGTTTTCCATCTTCTTCGCAATAACCTTCGGGGCCGATTCGCCTGGCCTGGTTTGGAATTCGTAGTTGACGATTTTCCCAATGTTTCGGTTTGCATTTGCCGCCCGGAACACGAAGGCGGGGTAGGAAATTTGTATACTACGCAATACAGCTCTTAACTGTGAAATTTAATAGTTTACAATTCTAGAAATACGTACCCATCGTGAACGGCTACTCCGTTTTTATCTACTCCCGAAATCCCGAAGCACTCAAGAAAATGCTATTTGAACAGCGTGCTGTGGACTGGTCCAAACCGATCATATTTCTTCGTATGACCGCTTCGTATTTCTTAACAGTTTTTAACTGGACAATTATATTTTGGCGTGTAGATGCACCGGAACCCGAGCATCTTTTGCTACTGGAAGAAGGCAAAAATTTCCCCGAAGGTCGTTTTGATCAGGTGCATTTTCGGCGCGATTTTCCGGAAGGCGCGTTTGCATACCTTTTCGACTTACCCAATCTAGATCTTACGTACGTCTGATAGCTTCTACAATTTAGAAAAATAACATATTACCGTCTCATATTATTACCTTAAGTGCAACCGTGTAATTCAGTGCTCTTACGTCTGCAAGCAAAAGTCAGTGCGCTACAGCTGGCGGAAACATTGGTCTTCCTCCGCGATAACAAAAGAACTAGTTACACCATGTAAAAATAATTGTCTTAGCTTTGCTGTTGAAAATATGGTCATCTGGTCTGTTGATTTGGTGGTCCGACGAAGCGAAAATAATGTTTGCATTTTTCCAAGCTGCTTTTAAATTAAATATGCACTGTTTGTTTTAATTTTGACGCATTTATTGAAAAATTTTACCATTTTTGTGATTATATTATTACAAACATCTGATGTTTGCGATTAATTTTATGATTAAAATATTGTTATAAATATCTGATGTTCTGTTATTCTCGTCCTTTATGCCGACGCTTAAATAATTAAAGGTCACCGCGGGTTTATAGTTACACCCTTCCGGATGGCTACCACATGGGTCCTCTGCAGCCGCACCACGCCGCCATGATCGGGCGCGACCGGAAGTACGGGCACGAAGAGAACAACACCATCTACTTCCGACGTTTGATCAGCAGCGGCTTTCCCACGGCGGCCGTGTACTCCGACACCGAACCCGACGTGCCGGTGGCCTACATTGTGCTGAAAGCCGAAGGCGCTATCGGCGCAGCGTTCGTCAAGAAAGAGCTACGCAGTATGGGACTGGCACGGGCCGTAGCGTTTGAGCTGTTCCGGCAGCTGCGGGAGCTGGGCGAGACGTGGGTGTGGGGTGATGTGATGAAGTTCAACATTGCCTCGCAGCGGACGGTGGAGGCCGGCGGCGGAAAAAAGATCGAAGGGATGGATATACACTGGATTGGGTATCTGCCCAATTCGGTAGAGGGCGAGATCAGAGTGGAATATTACGTTTAATGTTAATAACACTTACTCCCTTCTTTGTACAAAGCCGCAGCTACGTATTGCCCACTGTTTAATTAAACATGAATGTGGCATACAACTTCCATCGCTGTTAAATGTGGTCGTTTACAATACCTAGTAAAGCCTTAAACTGGGGTTCATGCCACACCACTGTACTTCGAAAAGATCGCTTCGGGGCCGAAAATTTAATTACCAAAACCAATACTTCCGCTTCTTTCTTAACGCTTTTTTGTTTTACATGCCGTTAAAAAACCGCTTTCACTATTTCGATATCAGCCAGTTTTCCCGTTTTACACTATTCTAAACATATTCGTAAACCGAAAGAAATCAGACCATTACATAACAGAAATAATAACTGGTAAAGTTTAACAAAAGAAAGGCAGCGTACGGTCGATAATATTTATTTTATTAGTCAGCGGCCGATGGCCAACCGGAAGTGGCTGTTTGAGAACTGATGGGTCCCAAGTTGCGCGCGTTTTGTGGTTACAGAAGTGTAACATCGTTTTGAAGTCCATTGTGTCTCCACCTGTGCATTTCTAGCTGGAGGATTCCCACCAGTATAATTATCCGAAGCTGCAAAAGAACATGGTTTCGGGGTTCCGCACAAACATGCAGCCTGGTTGAATCCAAACACAAATTATTACGAGTAGTATTTCATTTTTATCATCCTTAGTGTTTACAGTTATTTTACACAGATTTAAAAGTCTTTTGAAAATACTGTGCAAGCTGTAAACAAAGGACCTATGGACAGGATGATTATTTTTTAAAGGTTGAAATGGATTTGTTTGATTATCGTGAGCGGCCAATTCAGAATCCATAACCTGGCATTAGTTTCTAAAATTTTCTTGCCGAAAAATATCAGTGCAAATTCAAAGTCGAGGGCGCTGGGCGATAGTAATTTTAAATATCGCTGAATTTTCTACAACATTCTGTACTGAAAAATATACATCTAGTTACGTCTGAGCTGAGCGAACAGAATAGGCTGCTATTCGCTCAAATTTCGCTATGTACTCTTGGAAATCATAGCTCCTTGGAAAAATGGGGATGGAAATACGGCTAACACCGTTTCAGAGCGTGCATCATATACTGTATAGACGATCCAAATACTGGTATAATGCATCAACATCTACGGGTCGATTCCTCTCAATCGACACTGGAGCTTTCATCGATGTGGTTGCACTTCGCGATATTGCTCTAATTAATTTTCTATTCTAATTAATAGCTATTCTAATTAATTTTCTTTCTCCTGCGAATTCTTCGATCACGGGTTGTTTCTTGTGGTTGCTGGCAGCAACCAGGCGTAGCACAACCACGACAGCAACTTGCTGCCATGGTAGTGCTACGACTGGCCTGCTGTTTCCTTGGGTGCCTGAACTGCCATGCTGTCCAGTGAAAAAAATCCTTTGGTTAGTGAGTAACCGAGCTGCCAAGTGCACAAAATCGTTAAGACGGTTAAGGGATTAGATGACTAAATTCATAAACTGTACATACAAGCTTGTCCGGTAATTTCTGCCGGTTCAAAACAGCGAAATACACAAATTTGCGTGTTACGCCAAACGTAGTGTAGTGGCAATCGCTATAGCGCAAACTTCGCGCTAAATATGTGCTATCTGTACCTTTACGACAGAAATTACCGGACAAGCTTGTACACGAGTTACCACTGCACAGTTTACACTACTGTAGCAGCTGGCAGCTGTAACTTTCTTACAGCTTGCCCGCTCTATAAAATTGAATACTGAATGGCATGATGGCAAGAGAAAACTAGAGTATTCCAAGTGGACATTGGCTTCAAAAAGTCAAGATGCGACCGGCTACAGACAGGCACAAGTGCAACAAATAGGGCTATTAATCATTTTCGCTATCATGCACAGCACGAATCACCGTTTTTTATACATTACAGATACGAGTGCAGTAAAACTTGTGACTTTGAACACTCGTGTAAATTGAACACTGGTGCACATTGAACGGTCATTACGGAACCGGCGCGTCTCGTAGACTATAACACAGGGGGGACTCCGCGTATATTGAACACCTCTCTAAAGTGAACATTGCATAAACGAGCTGGAACGGATCTGATTGTTTACTGGTTTGTCTGAGATCAAAGCTCTAACATCGCCTAGTGTTTTTTCATATTCACTAATACCTAAGTGCGAGCGCGAACGTTTTGTTGAACCACGGTTGGCTAGCGGACTCGAAAGACCCGTATTACTGGAGAAAAATACTGTAATCTGTCGCTTGATGGGAGAGCGCGCACGCCGCGGCTTTTCTGCCTTTCCTCGATTGCAAAATTATGTGCTGGGGTCCATTTTATTTTTGTGTAAAATTGAATTGCCCTCTGTTTTCCCGCGTGAGCATGAAGTTTCGTAAATCAGACTTTCCCGTTTTCGTTCTTGCATGCTCATAATACTGCAATCGTTGTACTGAAAGTTGTCGGCATTTTACACAGGTTTCCCACACAAAGATTCCACCGTCGTTCGCGTTCAACGGAGAGCGAATTCCCTTGACAAATCTCTCGATCGTCAAAAAAGCACTGAAGGATGTGATTTACTGTTGCAACTGCACAAACGGTACCTATCCTACGGGATATTCTGTGCGGGGCAAAGTGTATGATACGACCACCGGTGCGTTTTCCCTTACGATAACCAACTTCTCCTACGCCGCTACCGGTCTCTACGAGTGTTTGCACTCGAACGGAAGCAAGCTGGTGGTGACGCAGAGCTACTGGGTTAGCGCGACCCTCTTCCGCCACGAGGTTTTCGATCCGCCCATGAAGAACCTCACCGTCCGCTACGGCGACCCCGCGGAGATGGTGTGCCCAGTGCGCTATAATTTCTTGCCCGGATACCTCAAGACTCGCTTCCTCTGGCGCTCAGGAAAGTATTTACTTGCGGCAAAATCGATCGCCGAGGTGGCCGACAAGACCATGGCTGCTTGGTGGGGCTTTTATGGGCATGTTGAATTCGGCATCGACGATCCGAGTCGATGCTACTCGACGTTGAAGATCGACAGCGTCGGTTGGAAGGATGCCGGTCGCTATGAATGCTGGTTCCGCATTAACGATCGCCTTGACAATGGATTGTACAGGAAGCCTATCTGAACGTTGTTTAACCGGAGTTAGTGGTTACAAGAATACAAGGTTAGCCACCGTGTACTTAAGGTGAAAGTTAGGCAATTATGGCGCCATTCACTTTAAACGCTTTAGAACTGTACTGCATGTAGCTAGGAAGGTATTGTGCCTATTTTCTAATACCAGGATAATTTTGCTGCCGAACGGTGCATCATGAATCCATGATCAGCACAATACCGGCCGGCTACCCGTAAACAACAGCCTGTAAACAAAACGCTTATCGTTGAACTGCATTCGAACGCTTCGGATTTTTGTTCCCCCCTGAGCGGATCGAATGTATACAAACACTTTTGGGAAAACGTGTACGTTACAGTTTTTCGAGAAAAATTTTTAAAGGTTTTAAAATCGACTTTGAAAATTTTAAAACGCTGTATCTTTGCCCCTTGTTAAGCGATCTTTCTCAAACTTCTGCACTTTCGTCTTGTTATCTAACCTGTTGTGTTGGATCATATTTGAATGAGTTAAGTCGAATAGCATTAATGCACTTGCGAAACAAACATAAAATATGATTAATACTCGTATAAACAACAATGTCATGTGAGTAATAACCGAAGAGGCTGGAAGCTGACGGGCTAGCACGAGGCTGCGCACGCCAGTGACAGACAGAGCGAGAGAGGACACAAAGCGCTCTAGCTTCAGTCAGTCAGGACAGAGCAGCTGCGCAACTCAGATCCGTTTCAGGGGATAACACGCGCCTGCCGTGCTGTGGACCTGCCAATGTTTTGTTAACAATTCAAGCCGAGAATCCATTGTTTTCGAACGGGATTTTTTTAAAATGTGGGTGACATGTTAATTAACTAGACCCATGCTCGGGAACATTTAGTGACTTTTCATAATTAATTGCCTAACCTTCACCTTAATTAGCATGTTTCGGTTATTCCGTACAAAGCAACCTTGTCTGACAAGTGGAGCTTGTCATCCATGGTTTTTCTGGTTCTAATGAATATATCAATAGCTGCTTTGGTGACGTTAAACCCTTGTCCAACTTACGCAACTAGAAACTCACCGGAAGTGCTGCACAAGTAATTTGAGTTAAGGTCCTCCAGCAGCATAGGCCGTACGTATGCTCCGATCGTCCGCAAATTAACCTGACGCTTGACTATGATGGCGTGGTGTTGCTAAACTGTTATTTTACAGCATCAACGCATACATTATACGGCAGACCAAAATGGTATTAAATTCATACGTGCCTGAAAACGGTTGAGTCTGTGTTGCCATAATTTAAATTGTGCGCGCCTGGCGCTGACTCAGCAGAATACCTATTGTTCGATCCCACGTGGCTGCACCCATCTCTGTTGTTTAAATTTAATTTTTCTCACATGTTCCCGGTGCGTGTATGTAAGAATTTAAAATGCCCCTGGTCACGTTGACCAATTTCCTGGTCTGGCAATCTTAACCATTTTTTTCCAAACGGACCAGTTTCCACTGAACATAGTTAAACGGAGCGACTAGTAATTAAACCGCTGTTAATGAGCAAATCATATGCTCCCACAGATTAGGTAATTAAAACAGTCACTTGACATGCCTGAGGCCCCGTACATAACAGCCATATCAGCCGACCACAGGTCGATGCGCGGTTTAGTTGTTTTGTCTTTCTTCCTTTTTCCACCGTGATCTTTATCACCATGCAGGAAGTCGCGTGGCGCCGCGGGAAGCTGGGTCTCCTGATCTTCGTGTGCGAAGCAGCCTTTATCATCATTTTCGGCTGTCTTGTGGATTATGGCTGGGAAGGGACGCCGCCGTCGCGTCGACAGGCACAGTTCGGCCGCGGCAGTGTGGAGGAACAGTATCTGGCGAAATTGAATCACTCTAATATCACCTTTAATCCGGCGCTAGAGAAATGGATCGGCCGCGAGGCGCTGCTCCGCTCCATGGTGCCCAAGTCGCCGGCTGAAGGAGCTCGCTATTACACCAGTAAGCGCCCAAAAGCAACACATATATAAAAAAACTAAGAATAATATTTAAAAAGAATACTACAAATCTACTACCGGTATAATCAACATTTTGAAAATATCAGTTTTCTCTTTAAAATAAATGGAAGATTTAAACGTACGATCAACAAGCGGCGTTCAGTCTTAAGTAAGTATATTTTTAACGATGTGTCTTAATTAAAAGAGACATTTTCAGAAGGGCAGATTTATTGTACTGTTACTCTCAAAACAAAGTTTGCAGGATTTTTTTAAAAATCACTGTTAATAAGGCAAACTCCACTATATCACTTTAAAACGAATTTTCTATGATACATTTTTTTAGAAACGCTTTCAATAAGTCAACATAATGGCAACAGTTGTCGGTCGAGTTGCCGGAATCACATTTTTCTCTGTGCGGCCATTTATTGTTTACTTATACATTTATACATATATGCTACTGGCTTTTCTGCTTTAACAGCTAAGTTTGGAAATTCGTCATAGAGAAATTACTGAACCAGTTGAATAAATTTAAATAACTTTGTATACAGTGTTCCAAGATGTCCACGTCATGGTTTTCATTGGATTTGGCTTCCTGATGACATGTCTGAAGAAGTATGTGTGTAAGACAAAAAGTATGATCACCGTAAGTTCTGTTACTATGCTCGATATGTAGGCTCGATATGTAGCCGCTTAAAATGCTCGTATTTCCGGGACAGATTATTACGGTAATTATTCACATGATTAATCTAGGTAGCTATAAAGTGCGGAACAATGGTGTCGTTAAAAAATTTAGTCAGCCGACAATCGGCTTGCCGAGTAGTTGTCAAACTTGTTCGTTAGGAGAGATATTGATCGACTTGTCAAATTTGACTGAGCACCATATCTGTGTCCAAAACCGATTAAGCGGCCTATTTCTTCTTTGTCCGGAAGTTGTTAAAATCTGCTATTTTTTTAAAATCTTTTGTAATGTTTGGTCAGAATAAAATTTTTCTTTTATTTCCATAAATTTATTTAAATTTAGTTTCGTTAATAGATTTATGTTGGTTAATAGATTCATAAATCTAATCTAATGCTACAGCAGCTAGATTTTCGGTGTATTTTTAAAAAAAGAATTAATTCTGTCAGAGCGGCGCTGGAAATAGCCTGGAATTAGTTTGAGCCGGGCGTACCGTATTAGTACAGCAAACACATGCTAACGATGTCTTTTGCGGTGGACTAGATACGGATACAGCGCAGTGGGCATGACATTCCTGGTGGCTGCCTTCGTTTTGCAGTGGGGCACTATTCTGCGTGGATTTTACCGTCTCGCGGAAAACAGCTGGAGAATTAATCTGGATTTTATATCGTTAGTCTTCAAAAACACTTTTTCTACGCCACAACTTATTATAACTACTTAAGTCCTAATTATTGATTACGCATATTTTAGGAGTTATTAAAGGACACACTTTTAACAAATTACATAATGTTTTAAATTATTTTTTCGTAGACTTATGCTTGTGTAAAAAGCTTGATTTTTTAATTTATATTTTTGCTACGAATTATTATATTTTCGCAACCCATGATAATTATTAAGTAAATATTTTTTTAAATAATTGTAGTAATTCATCTGTTGCACTTACATATCTTTCACTAATTCTACGACAAAAATGTTGCTAACTTGCATTTCTAAATTCTTATAGAATTATCAGTGCGGAATTCACGGCCGCCACTGTACTCATTACATTGGGTGTGGTTCTGGGAAAACTGAGTCCCATCCAGTACGTCATTATGCTGATGATCGAGACCGTCCTGGTCACGGTCAACGAGTGGATCTGCTACGATCTCTTATTAATAAAGGACGCTGGTGGCACCATCGTCATCCATCTGTTTGGCGCCTACTTCGGTCTAGCATTGTCCCGCACGATGCACCGCCGCCAGTTCGCCGATCCGCACTTCAACGACCTGAAAGAGATGAGCCGCTTCTCTGATCTGTTCTCCATGGTAGGGACGCTGTTCCTCTGGCTGTTCTGGCCGAGTTTCAACGCGGTGATGGCCATGGATGACGGGCGATACCGGGCGGTGTATAACACGTATTTTGCCATTGCGGCCAGTTGTCTGGGCGCGTTCATGGTGTCCACGTTCGTCAAACATGAAAAATTCTGCCCGGTAAAAATTTTAGTTACTATACTTTTGTACATTTTGCTGTCGCCGAAATGAACGTTAATCAAAAGACTATTATTAATTAATTTATAAAAATTTATCAACGAAATTATGCTCTTTAAATTTGGCTGCGATGCTTCAGTTTTCTCCCAAAGGGCCGGTTTTTTACAGGCGAACTCATGCGCTTTTTATTTTGCTCCCACACATTCGCCAACAGGCAGAGCGCACTCAGCGCAGTGAATATGTTTGCGGATATTTTAATACACGACGCTTTATATAACTTAGCATACAACCACTTGGCTGCGCTTGAATCGGTAATTTATAGCAAAAAGTAAGTGAATATTATATTGTAGTAAGTGAATATTCCTCTAAATTTAACATTGCCAAATCAGTTCTATAGCATACAAAATTTTGTTTTTATTTCCAGGAAATTATTCAGAATTCCACCCTCGCGGGCGGCGTTGTGGTGGGCGCGGTGTGCGATATGTACTTATATCCGTTCGGTGCATTAATCTGCGGGTTCTTCATCGGATGCATTTCCGCTCTGGGATACCATTTCGGTTCGGTAAATAACTGACATTTCTTTCTTGAATTTCATTTTGCTTTCACAAAATGTATATGTACTCGTACAGTACATCATGCATCTGTACTAAAAACTTTTTTTGCTCTTAGCCGATTCTCGATAGAAAACTTGGCATCCACGACTCCGTCGGCGTCCACAACCTGCACGCAATCCCGGCATTTGTTGGCGGCCTGATTAGTGCGATTGTTGCCGGGTGTGCGACGCCGGAAGTTTATGGCACCTCGTATGTTCTGATTCTGTGCATTAACGAATTTTGCGATTGCCCCTAATTTTATCGCCTCTGATGCAGATTTTACGGGCAGTTTCCCGGTCAAGTACCCATGGAAAACACACCAGAATATAAAGAACTTCTTAAAACCAACGCCAACCTGAAACCAGGCTATGGATGGTCGGCCAGTATGCAGGGCGGTTACCAGCTAGCCGGGATGGCGGTCACGCTGGCAATCGCCATTGGTGGCGGGATTTTTACAGGTAAGACGGTGCCTAAGCGATTCCGCAAATGACATCTTGGTTTCGTGACTTTCTCCGTCTCATTTATTCAAAGAACTAAAATTGCCGTATATCTGTTATGATCACCATATGCACGCTACGAGTATTTCGTTTTCGCATTTGCTCCATACTTGCTGGGTTCCTCAGTTTATACATCTTCCATGTACATCTAGCTCACTTGCCCTGATACTTGTCAGTAGCAATTTTCCTAGGCAACGTATCCCAAACATATAACGCGGTCATTTCCCTAATTGATTTGTCATCTACAGGTTTAATCCTGAGGATACCGCTATGGAACCGTCCGACAATGTACGAGGTGCTGGATGATAAACCGTACTGGGAGATGCCGTCCAAACTACACCGCGACGATGAAGCGGCACTGCGCGAACGGCTCGATCGTCAGGAGAAGGGCCTTCCTACGGAAACAAATGTCCACTTTTCCAATGGGAAATCAGCTGCTCATGGCGCTATACAGAATGCCGAAGCAAATGCTTCCCACGCACACTTGATATGACCGTCGTCCATCGGTCGGATAGGACAATTTGGGCTGAATCGAGGAACTCGCAAGGAACGCAGCACACACGCAAGATCACATTTCACTGGCGAACACTGCACATTAAAGTCTACTTTATTTGGGCGAACTTGTTCAGGCAATTTATTAAACTCAAATCTAACTGAAACGTTGAAACTCTTTATAGTAGCCCATAGCCTGAGCTGAAACAGTACTTTCCTTACATGTGTATTGCGAGATTCGCACACAGACAAAACGCATGAATTTTCTTCATGTGGAATGCCGGCAATCAGGCGTCCAGTATAGTGATAGAGACCGTCACCCGGCAGCAGTTTTGAGTAATCTATGCAGATATTGATGCTAGACACGTGCCAGGTATCTGCTGAATTATACATTACACATGACGGCTGTTATATACACGCAGGCATCGGGCTACTCATATAAAGTTTATTAATAATTCGAGTATGTACAGAAGTATTTAATACGATATTTATATTATCATATCGCTCAGCTGCCGGAACAGACTTGAACAGCGTAATTGAATGTCGACAATTAGCGGATCCGGCAACCAACCATCTTTACTTTATGAAGCGCTGACTACCGTGCCAGATGGAGCTCCATCGCTTGTCTTCCCAAGGAAACCGCTACGGTTCCATCTACGTAACAGGGACGAGCAGCAGCACGCGGTACAGAAATTCCTCCACATATGGCGGATACGGCGCCGGTAGTCCTCCGTCTTGGCCAGAAACAGCAGCTACAAACACAGCTCACCTTAGTTTTGGCTTAAATTTGTACAAACAAGAAAACGGAAAAAGTGGACAATAATTACCGGACTCGTTGAGTACGCCGCCAAAAGAAATATCCGAAAAATCAGCTGCAACAACGGTTGCGAATTGTACTCCACCGAAAAGAAACTGGAGGCGATGGGTGCCGGTAGCAACGCCAGGGAATACCACAGCGCCGTGACAAATAGCAGTTTCACGCTACGATACCGCCGTTTGAATAGCGCCCGTTGGTTGTCCGTTGGGATAGGCCGGGGTACCGCGCCGGGGATAACCTGACGGTGCGCCATGATCCAACGCATCCCAACCACCAAGAAAATTGTCCCGTACAGCAAACTCAGCCCCGCTATCGGCAAAGCGACGCACAATCCAACCACGAAGTGATAGGTGTCGTCCTGCGGAACGGGTTTCGTGCCACACGCACCCCACGGTCGCATCGGCTGGAAATGGGCGCCAATATCGTAGAACAGGACTAGATTGCTGATAAATGGCACAATGTACGGAACCACCTGCCGTGGACACACAAGAAAAAACAGTGATACACTAAGTTTTACAATGCTATATCACCGAGCCGTTTTTACCACACAGAATTTAATTGGTCGTAAACTGCACTCACACAGCAGCTGTATAAACAGTGATCGATACCCATAAAATCGAAATATGTGGATTACGATGGAACCAGAATTCCCGATTTTCTGGGTGTGAATTACCGTCCCCTTTTGGACACAACAAACTGAAACCGGTTTAAAGAAAACGTAGCTTTCAGGACACATTTAAACTGGGACAAACTTTATAAAGCTTTACTATGCTCCGTTAAAAATATGAAAATTTATTTCAATTTTAGTCTTCAAATGATTTAATAAATTTAAAATAAATCTGCAATATTTGCGTTGGACAAGATTCTGTTTAACCCAGGAAAATGGGATTCTAGAACGGATGGGTCTTGCCTTAAAAATTGGCAATCTGGGACAGGAAAATTTACATTAAGACAAAAACATTTTTTTTTAATTCTAGCGGCCATACGTCAAGGAGATGGCCATGTCGGCCTAAAACGCATAGTCGGGCATAGTGTGGAACGGGTTAAACTAAATCTTTATTACATCTTTCGGGTTGCGTAATATTTTCGGATGAAAGTTTTGCTCCTAGGAGCAAAAAAAAGAACTACAACGGAATTATGTAATTTTAACTAGATATCGATTATCGTATGAATAAATTTTATAATAAATTATCGATTCCCACACCTACTCAGCAGATAAACGTCAACATAAGAAATCGTTGCGAACAAAATTAACGCATCGAACAAAATTACCATCATGGGAATGATGACAGTGAGGTGCATCCATTTGGTATATGCATGCGGAAAGCAGATGGCCACAAAACGATTGGTGGCCACGGCCAACTGGGCCCAGTCCACCGTGTACATGAACGAATAATAAAACAGCAATAAATTCTTGCAGAAATGTTCCGGCGCGTACTGGTAGTACACACCAAAGTACGTATCAATAATAATCATGGGCATACCAATACCGCACAACACTAAATTAATCAGCAGACAGTTAAAAATTAACAGTCCGGATCCGTGGCGGAGTTTGCGGGATGACAAAATGGCGTAGATTAATAAGGCGTTGAGGCAGGTGCCGGTAACGGCCAGGATCAGCATAATCACCAGCCACGCGATTAATGTGGTACGATACGTTATCCACGCGGGAATATCTTCCGTGCTGACGTTGACATGAATCAATGTAGCGGAAACATTCATAATTACCGGTACGGATTTTTCGAATGTTGGAAATTCAAAGGGCGTTAAAATCGGGCAGCAAGTTAAATTTAACGTTGCGAAAACGAACGACCGGAGAGCGCATGATTATCTTCCGTAATAAAGCTGATGAAAAAAGGGCATTTTCCAGCTGTTTTAGTATTGTCGTATAACAAACCATTTAACGCAGATTCAGCTGGATTGACAAGCTTAGTCAATCTAGCGTAGAAATTTTTAAACGGATCGAACAAAAAAAGGACAGAAACAAACAGGAGAAAAGGGCTGCAACAGGAGAAAAGCGCCTGTGTAGGGTGCAGTAGAGTAAATAGCCGGAAAAAGGAGCCATTCAACTTTAAACAGGCAAGTTCTAAATGCAGCAATAGTCGGCTAATTAAACAGATCGACCGTGTTGGATTCGGCTGCCGCTTCCAGAACTGATCCCGATGTACAAGTGGTGCTCCTATATTCAGCGGATAGAACAACGTACCGTATGCGTGTTCGGCTGTACAGCTGCCGGCAATATTGCCACTTGAGGACAATTACATATGAACAGCTAGCAATTGACGGTGAGACACGTTTACACCAATTGTCTCTTCGCTGAGTTTTTCGAATCAATCGAGTCATCTCCGGGAAAGCATGCACATCGGGCCGGGCAGGTTTCCAATGGGAATGCCCGTACTGTACATGTACCGGATACGATAAGCATACGTCGAACAGGTGGAGGAAGGTCGGTTATAACAGCGGTCACGGTCAAGGGGATCACGATCGTCAGTGACCAATAGTTATTGAATTCCTTTATTGAATTGGCGTTTATTAATGAAATTTCCTCCAACTGTTTCGTCACACGGTCTGGCGACATGCTATTGCGTATGCAGAGGAGACTATAAGGAGTCATGGAGAAGGTTGTTTGGCGTCGATACCGGTCGAAATGTGAATAAGCTGGCTTCCCACAATAATGCGAGACAGTCGATAAGCCACACTTTATAGAAACTCTGGGTGTCTCACCGGGTGTCAGTGTTATTAAATAATACGTAGATGGTGTCATTGTTTTTCTTTTCATGATAATATTCGATTGTCGTCGAAAAAGTCGGAAAATTAAGAGCGAGAAATAGATAACCGTGTTTTTACATCCATTTATACAGTGTACGTACATGTACATTGTTGTGATAGTCTACGTACGGCACATGCATGAGATAATAAAGCCTTTAATAATCAACAGTAACTTGAATTTCTGTGCTTATGGTGTTTTGAGCACATTAAAATTTGCGCTTTCTGAATGTATTGTTGATCTGAAAGTTATTTGTGTACTAGTTCTTCTGCATACCTGTACAGGCTGTACAAACATATTACTTACTACATAGCAAGGGCTTCGCTGCTTTACGCTTTTTTGGAGGCCGCTGAAACTGTTACATGAATAACTTTGCAGAACTGGACGAATACGAAATTAACACGGCGCATCATTTCTAATAGCTTTTCTGCAACAGAATTACTGGCTAGTGGCTACCGCCTTTTCATTACATAAAGCATAAAAAATTATTAGGATCGGGATTAGCCACCGGTGGCCCGACGGGAACGCCGGACGGGGCGTAATTCATATTGTAAGGCGATCGTTTCAGACACTCCGCCATGACACGGTCACATTCGCACAGCACATAACCACACGGTTCCTGATCGGCAACTGCAATTGTACAGCAAAATATTAATAATTTATGTAATTCGTCGTCTCTTGCGGCATTCATTTCTGCATTAAACAATGGCTCCACGCAGTTCGAACAATTTCCCTTACCGCAGGATGGCGTCATGTTGGAGATGGTCCACTGGTATCGTCGCAGATAGGCAGCCGCCCCCGGGCACAGCATGGCGATGTTGTCGTAGCAGACATCGTGATCGCGGCAACACGTGTCGGTGGCGTCTACCGGACGGCCGCTGCCCATCGGTCCGCAATACTTCCCATATCCAGCGTAATGTGACCAGCAACGACCAGTTGTAGCGTAAATCATCATGGCGAATTCGCCCAGGCTGCGGGATGCCATCCGGTTATCCAAATTTCGCCGCGCGCTCTGTGGTGCACACGCAACTGCAGCAACTAAAAAGTGCTCAGTAACAACTTCCCGTGGCAAGATCTACTGCACACTATGTGTACTATACCACTGACGCGCCAAATGTTCAAATTTGTTACCGAATTTGGTTTTTTATCTTCTTATATAGTCGGTTTTTTCCTCCAACAACTTTTCTGAATGGTCATTCTTAGCGTACCGCCGAAAAAGCAGTTTGAATTTAACTTACCGACTGCTACGATCAAAACCAAAATGCTGACTGAATGCATATTTGATCTAGACGTTGTAAGTCGTTCTTTAACAATAAACTCAAAGGAAATTCGCGCGATTTTGCAATCTAGATTAGGCTTTGGTTTGCAGAAGAAAAATCAGTAAACATCGACCGTCAGAAATTCTGAAACTACTATAAACATTTGTGCCACCTGCCCGTAGCGCTGCAATCGACAATACTTTTATCGTAAAACACAACAGCAATGTTTATCAAGCGTTGTTATCTTCCCCATAGCATACATAAGGACAATGAGTGCAAACCATTAATTTTGTTGCAAGGATTAGTTTATCATACTATGTACGAAGATACGAACCAGGACACAATTACCAGCTGATCATTAACTGATAAAGCATCCCGATCAGGTGTAACATACTGCCTGTCACTAATAATACTAATTTCATAGTCGAACCTTTCTAGTATAATACGCGTACGATCTACGTGGTGAAGCGCTAACGCTGACCCTGCGAAAATGGTGTACGTGAACACTTGTACCCCGTACATAACGCCGGCTTTTCCAAGCAGCGGCGTCTGAAGTGTTCAAGACTTGTCAGATAACCAGTAAGCTGACTCCAGAAAAGCGGGAAAGCTTGTGCAATGCCGGTCCGGAAAAATGATGCGTTTTTCCCGGTTTACCCGTGCATGCAAAATGATAGCAGTTTTAAGAAGTATCCCATACAAAAAATCACCGCTCAGCGCTTTAATCGTGTGTTTTCTTAGAGCGCAATCGCTGGATAAATGGATGTCGCCACACTGAACCACTCAAAACGGAGAATTATTGGAATATTACGCGTGCAGTATTTCTTTCAGTAAAACTAAATGTATATAAAGCGGGCATATTGGACGGATTACTTCAGATTAACAAAAATTCCTAAACTCACCAGTGATTCAGTTGCTTGAGCAGAAAGTTAATTTTTAGCTTAGTATTGTTTGCTTATCGAAATCGTTGATGTAAAAGCGATTTAATAAAATGTACCGCAACACTGCTTTCTTCGCTGCGTTATTATTTGTTTTGCTGAATGCCGTAAGTACTGCGCATCGTCGCAATCTACACAGCGTTTTTTATGCTTTTATAAAAATGGCGCTGCTGTTTCAGGTTGTTACACGCGGCCATTTGAAGCATCACGAGGGCAACCTGAGTTTAGCAGATGCTGCTCACGCGACGTCCTCCAACACCACTCACTACGACAGCGGCAACCGTAAGTCAGCAAAATCTGTAGATACCGTATTTATCGAATTAGAAGCCCAGGGTTACAAATATTACAAATGACCCACGGGGTGGGCTCCAATTACGGGCATGGGCTTGTATTTAAGGGGGGGGGGGCTTCAATTTTTCAAACCAGCTTTTTGGCATTTTTTTATATGGGGTTTACGGTATTTAATTAAGCCCATGGGCCTCTATTTCGGGGGGGGGGCTTATAACTTTCAAACGACCTTAGGGGTGGGCTCTAATTACGGGGGGGCTAGTATTTTGGGGGGGGCTTCAAATTCGATAATTACGGTATATTATGGAAACGGGCGTCATCTGTGTTTGTCTGTTACATAGATGCCAGACGTGCCAGACGAATTATGGTGATCGATATATTGGACCACGGACGGCAAAAGGGGTTTGTGGAAGACCCCAATCGTCATCATTGGATCCCTAATGTAAAGCCTAATGTGGAAAATGATGTGAAATCTACAGTGAAGCCTAATGCAATTCCTAATAAGAAGCCCAATGGGAAGACTACTGTGAAGCCTAATGCAATTCCTAATAAGAAGACTACTGAGAAACCTAATGCAAATCATCCCCATGTGAAGCCTACTGTGAATCCTAATGCATATCCTCCCCATGCGAAGCCTACTGTAAAACCTAATGCAAACCCTCATAAGAAGCCCAATGCGAAGCCTCACGCTAATCCTAATTGGATTTAATAGGAAGACCATAATTTAAAGCACCTTTCAATGGAATCCGCACCTGGAATGAAGGTTACAATCACTATTCCCAGTAAGACTTTTTGTTCGCCTTGTCACTGCTCACGCTCGCTTTGGGGTTCGTCAACTGTGTTTCATCGCTTTTTTTTAGCTAATTAGTGTTCAATTAGAACGCGCATTATTTGATTTGGTCACGAATTAAAGCGCGTTCCTTCGGTAATTGGGCTCATTCGCATACGCCCACAACGAGTATACCTGCAGGCTGCATACATATATAGACTATAAATACAGTATATACCCGCATACAGTCTGTACAAAACGAGTCACTATAGCCACTTAAAATAATAATTCCATAAAAAAATACATAAAATTTCATATATGCAAAGAGCATACCAATGTTTAATCAGTGCCGGTAATTATAACGCGAGTAATTATTTCCACTCACGGTGCTATAACTTCTGATCTGTTTGTAATCAGCAAAAAAAGAAAATACTCTATAAACGCTAGTTCCGTCTACCCTGAAAATGAACGCATTTATTACAGTTATTGAGACAACCAAATGCACATACCCATATCACGATATACCAATGTTGCACGCTTTTCATTCTTAATTTTCGCACAAGTGCACACAAATTCGGCCACTATTGACACAAATTAAAGCGAACTCATCTACGAATAAGGCACATTCCGAATTTTCTTAACAAAGCCGAATTCCGAAATTCTTTATAACGCTAGCAGTTCACTAAAATACCATAGGCGAAATGGCCTAGGAAATGACTGGATTAAGCAAAACGTATCTGTACCAGGAATTACTATCACGGTACTTTCCCGTAAAAGTGCATTTACCAACCCCACTAATTTTATCGGCATGCTGACTCCATAAAATTGGAAAGCATGCGCATCGTCAATTTCTAATAACATACTGCGACTTCCAAGATGGAAAATACGTGCATTAAAACGCAGTGATTCTACGAAGCATCGAGCCTGCTTAATATCAGAAAAGACTAACCTCTTTGCGGTTTTCACGAGTGTTTTCTACGAGAGCCGCGCCGCGGCGGAACCGGTATCGCCACAACAAGGCACTCAAATACCGCAGAGATTGCACGGAGTCCCGTGTGTTAGCAATTCTTTCCAATGGGTAATGGCAACCTATACCGGTCTGCAAAATATCCGTCTGCACCTGTGCATTTCACACTACGAGGAATTTGAAAACAGTGGATTTATTGACAGTTATTTTAGCTGTCTGAATCGACAAGGCTGCTTATTAGCACGGTATTGTCGCTTTATTAATATTTCACAGTCGAGTACTGTGTGATCCAATTGGCATTCGTCGGTCGGAAGAATTATCTTTACCAGCCTTCTTGGCTTCGATTCATTCCGTATCCGGCTTGCTCTCTTCATTACTGCCTGACCACAGTGTTGTCGATGTTTCTGGTGCAGTGGAGTCATGGAAACTGAAAGCTCGTCAGCCTGAGATTCCAGAGCTGGCATACCGGAAGTCCCAAAAGGCTTGGGACTTGCCATTATGCAACGTTTCCCTCTCCTCCCTGCTTGAGGTGTTTCAGGGTGACGAGATAAATACAGCGCGCCTGCTTGCCCAGTCCAGACCTGAAGCCGGGATCTGGTTGAACGCCCTGCCATCCGCTCACATTGGTAACCTGCTGGGTGACGATGAACTGAAGATCAGCGTTGGTCTCCGCCTCGGCGCCACGATCTGTGAACCTCACGACTGCGTCAAATGTCTCAAACCCGTGGATGGTTACGGTCACCACGGGCTGTCATGTGCTTTCTCCGCCGGAAGGCACCCGCGCCACGGCGGGCTTAACAGCATCATCTGCCGAGGATGTGTGTCCGCCGGTGTGCCCGCAAAACTGGAGCCGCGTGGAACCTCTCACACTACGGAACGCCGCCCGGACGGCTGCACGACATTTGCATGGAAACGCGGGCTGTGTCTCGCATGGGACGTGACATGTGTAGACACGGTTGCGCCATCACATGTCAAAGCAACTTCGACCACAGCGGGAGCGGCCGCCGTGCAAGCTGAGGATAAGAAATCCAGACTTTATATTTACCTGCTGGCCGCTACCTATTCGTTCCAATTGCCTTTGAAACCATGGGACCATGGGGACCGTCAGCAATCGTATTTATCAAAGAATTGGGGAAGAGACTTCAGCAGCAAACCGGCGAAGCACGCTCGCATGAGTTTTTAAGACAGCGCTTGTCGATAGAAATTCAGCGGGGTAACGCGGCGTCAGTGCTTGGCACGATGGAAGGGCTGGATAAATTAAATGAGATTTTCTTGTTGTAGTTTGCATGTTTCTTTCTTTACTTTGCCCCCAAGTATGATTTGACCAATAAAGCTAAAAGGATTGACAAAATGTACAGATGCATAATTTCCCTGTTTTGCCATTTCTCTTGCCACACGCTGTAATCACATCCGCATCAGAACATTCCCCAGTACAGACACATTAAAATTGTCCTTTCGCCTGTGTGTTTCATGTTCCTATCCGGATTCTACGGAGCATCACGACGACAATAAATTGAGCTTCCCGGATTTTGCTAGTTCGACCGTGTTGAACGCCACCCACTCTAGCCACTGCAATCGTAAGTCGGGAACATTATTTGCTGGTGTCGCGGAAGAGCTTTCAAATCGCCTGTAATCTTTTCTGCCGGTCATGGTGACGGGCATCGGCGACCACTTTTGGTTGTCCTGAGGCCATGGATCCCGGAGATGCAATGATGACCGCAAACAGTGGGGGCTTATGTGCCTCTTCGTCCAATCTCAAACAGCTCCGCTATTACGACAGTGGGCGTTCTGGATTTCTATGCTAATGCTCCGATGCTTGTATCTGCCGTCTCCCGTCGAATTTTCATACCAGTGTCCCTGTTTCCGGCGAGAAGTGTACTTTGATCCCACTGGTCCGATAAGCATTAAAGTAAAATCATTTATGGCATTCAAATCATTTATTGTCTTCTGAGTCAACGTACCTCATGACAGTGAACACGCGCTTCCAACTCATTTTATTATAGGCGTCCCATCGCATTTTTATTACCGCGAAAATCTGGGACAACAGTGGTTTACCGCGAGTTGTCACGCCAAATTGCAAGTGAAGTAGCATGGTCAGCAACCACCCTCGATTCGGCAAAACAAGTTCGCTGCTTAGAATATTAGTCGGCATCGTGCCACATAAGACAGTCACCATAACAAAAAGCATTTTCACGCACAGTATGTCGGTCTCCAGTCTCCACATTATAGTAACCGTTGTTAATCGACCTACTGCTGTCAGTGGTATTTTGCGTACAATTACCATAAACTGTCACACCTCTGCATTACAATGCATATTTTCTGGCTAGCTGTCACCGTGGTCCTGATCAGTCGGTACGTTTTCTCTCATTCTACTTCCTGCAGTACATTATATTCGCATTAACTAGAGCTCTGTTGATGGAGAATATACATAATAAGTGTTGGTTGTTGCTGTTATAGAGCGTCAGTTCCAGACCGCACGCCATCCCGTCAGGCATTCTGGATAATCCGTCGTTGACACCAGCTAATCGCTTCAAACGCCAGTGGGTGTTTTCGCCAGAAGAAGTAGCGGAGTGGATTAATCAGTGGGTAACCGCAACAACGACAGAGTCGTCAAAAGCGACGTGCCCGGTAATCTTTCCTCATCAAATTCTTTCCGAGTTGTTTTCCCGAGCTCCATACATAGGGACTGTGTAGTAAATAGCGCATACAGTATACTAAAAAATGACTCTAAAAGTAAAAGAAACACAGCTTTGGGTACATTGTTCTGACCTTAACTACCACGGCAAAGCTACCTAGCACATTAGCTAGGGTAAGCTGAAGCACGCCACCTTGTGAAAGACTTTGGTACCGCCCTGAAACTGTTTATACTTTTCTCCCAGAATCTTGATCAGTACCCTCGGCCGGCCCCAAGCAACCTTTTTCCGAATGGAATCGTCCCGTTACACACTTGTTGCGTCAAAGACGGCAGTAAGCGTCAGATCAATGCAGCTGCATGGTGGAAATAATGGGTTTCCAACGAAAATATGTGTTTATAGAAATGTACATTTATCACCAAGACAATCTGAAAAAATGGGCCCTGGAAATCAGTCCGACCATTTTCCCCAACTATCGCTACGTTTGTGGTTGGACATAACGTTAAGCCAGGTTACCATTTACAAACGGTATCGAGGCAGACGACGCTGCGTCCGTGGTTCTATGCCAATACTGTTCCTTGTACGGTTAATAATATAGATTTACTCATAAGGCAGCGTCCTAAATCGTTTATTATTTCTATACGTGATTGTTCATAGCGTTACCATATAATTTGTTTTAACCCGCCTGAAAACTGACAAAAAAAGAAGTCAGCGAAAGGGCGAGGCTTGTTCGAAGCCGTGCAGCGATTAAAATTACAATAGTTACCGTCATCGTATCTGGTGGCACAGTTTGCAATTATCGATACAGAAATAACTGCTTAAGAAATGCGGGATGTTTTTGGAAATGCACCTACGTACAGACTGTACTCTGTACGAAGCATCACCCAAGAAACCCACATATTATATCGTTATATTCTCGATGCTCCAGTCCAATAAAAGTGGATGACGCCCGTGAACTGCGGTCTGAAAAAACTTCAAACCAAGCTAATGGCAGCAAGGTTAAGCGAGGTGGTAGTGGACGCCAACGACTGAGCGGTACTCGATGCAAGCTTATTGTGGAAGCTTTACTCTGTATTTACAGAACGCGCCGTAGATCCATTTTCTAGCTTTTCTGTATCGCGAAAGCTGGGAGTTTGCTCACTTTTATAGAGCGAGAGCGAGATGATGATACGATACGAGAGCGAGCGATTATGATACGAGAGCGTTCGCCCTATTGCCCGGCATTCGATAGAATACGTCGTTGGCGCCCGCCAACCGCTTTAAGCGCCATGGGATGCTGTTACCGCAAGGAATTCTATCGTCGTGGTGGATTCAACCGACTATATCAACTATGTACAGAAAATCCGACAACACAGAATTTTTGAGCACTCATTTCTCAAATGATTTTCTTGAACTTTTCTTTCAAAGATCCATTCATATGACCACCAAGTTTTAATACGAGTAACACAACTGTAAAGTGCGAACTGAGG